AATCTGCTGCCAAAGTGCAATAAAAAAGACACAATGAATAGAATCAAACCCTTTTTTGTTGCATTTTAGTAGAGTATAAAAAGAAATGCCTTTAAAATAGGATGCAAGCAACACTAGTTTCTTAACCTGAACTTGATAATAGACTATAATCAATTTAAGTTTGCATTCTTATACCATTTTGTACAATAATTATAATGAATAAGTTCAAACAAACAAAAACGTACAGCTGATTAATAACGGTATCTAACTTGAGTTATTATTATATCAAAAACCTGTTGAAATGCTTCTGTTATTTTTACTGTCCCCAAAAAGCGCGTCGGCAGCCTCCAGGAATGCTTCTTTCACAACTTCGCCGTCTTTGAAAGACTTCATGTGTTTCGCAAGAACGTGACTGACACGATAAGATGCTCTGTAGCAGCCTTGCTCTTGTTGTTGGGCCTGGTGAAAATGGACTGCTGTGCATTTAGCAGTCCTTTCAGGCCCCTCCCCTTTTGGAGCGTAGGGCAGAATTAGGAGGGAATTCCGTCTCGTAGCGTTTGTGCACTGTTTTGAAATGCCGCTCCTAAATTACCCTTCTTCGATAAAGCCACGCTCGCATTGCAGATGAGACAGATGGACTTTGAATTGGAATATATACAAAAATAATCATCCTCCCACTCGGAGTGAAAATGATATATTTGGGGCTTTTTTGCTTCTGCCATAATTGTGTGTGTGCGGACTGTCACTCCTGTTGACATGGACAACGTCAGCGAAATAGTGCCCACTGCCCACCAGCCACGCCCCCACACATGAGGGTCACGCCGGCCAATCACAAAGCTTTGGTGCGTTCAAGTGCATTATTCTGGCACAGGAAGATTATGTTATAGGACATTAACGATAAAACAGAATATTGTTGTTCTATTTTTAGACACATCTCGCGATCGACTGGGAATCTCCCCGCGATCGACCGGTCGATCGCGATCGACTGGTTGGGCACCCCTGTGCTAAGCAGTGGGACATCTCTAAGCGTTCAACCAATCACAACAGATCCGCCCAGCTAATCAATCAGAGCAGACTGGGCTCTGGTTTCAGACAGAGGGTGAGAAGAGGTGCTGCTGCACAGGCAGTATGAGAAAATTAAAGAGCTTTTTGAACATTAAAGCATGGAGACATGTCACAGTAGAGACACAGAATACGATTATGAAACCTGAAAATAATAGGGCATTTGCACGCTGCAGACTGAATATGAAATGTTAATGTGTGCAGTGTTTCCAAAGGTGAAAGGTTTCTTACCCAAAAGGAATGAGTTTTTTTCCATTTGTAAAGAGAATACTTAATGTATGCAAATGATACAGCAACAACACATTCTGTTATATCATTGTTTGTTTTCTCCCTTATGTACGTTATTATGTCTGGTATGTAAATGTCTAATATCATCACCTTCTTAAACTAATGGCCTAAGTCATATTTTGGAGAAAATGTTTTTTTTGCCTAAATCATCTCTTCTTGATGCTGGCCACCTCTGGTAAAATTGCCTACATCCTTATTGAAAGGATAGTGCTGTTCCTACCCTGATAGTATAATGGCCTATGTCAAGAGTGTGACTTAGGCCATATATTTAAAAAAAAAAATGCTTAAGTCACATTGTCTTGTGACTTAGGCAATTTGACAACCTTTACAAAATGGCTGCCTCAAGAAAAAGACAAATTAACAGATAAATGAAGTTATTTTCATGGTTCAGGGCTTGTCCCCTGTGGGTAAGTGATGTTTACTACTATAGGCTAGGCTATAAATGTTGTGTAGTTATTTAGTCTTTTACTATCACAATGTATAGTTACTGTAGCTACCGAAGCTACTGTAGCTACTATAGCTAATGTAGCTACTGTAGCTCCATGAAGCATGCACACATTTCCCTCTGGGACAATAAAGACTAATCTAAAAACTAATCTAACCTTTCAAAAGTAACGGTTACAATTACTGCATAATTATGAATTAGGAAAAGTACATTTTGCGTCATCTGTTTCAATTCTTAATATTGTATTATTGTCTCCTTTTTCCACATTACATTTCCATCTTATTAGAAAAGATTAAATGTTTTTTTAATTGAATTTGGCCAAATAATATTCATCAAAATAGCTTTAATGTATTAATACATAGGACCACAGTGCAATTACAAACATTTTTTTCATAATGATCACACAGTTGTGACCGTACGCCTACTCCTTTTTGGTAGGAGATGCACTTGACTTTTCAGACACCGATCAGGAATCATCCAATGAAAATGAGACCGTCTTTAAAGAGGTGGAGCAGCATGTACCAGGCCAAGACCCTGTATCAGATGGAGCAGACAATAACCTAAACACTCTCATTGAAGAAGAGAGTGTTGCTGAAGATGCCAAGCAGACCCGTCCACACCATGATGAAGACACAGATGATGATGATGATGATGATGATGATGATGATGATGTCATAGACCCAAACTACAATCCATCCTCTGATGAGTCGTCTGTCCCTGAAAATGAAGACAGTCTGGCAGCAACTTCAGAAAATGATGGTCCTCATCTAGAGGATGTGTATGAAAACAATATGGTCAAAAGGAAACAACATAAATACCTCAGCCCAGAAACATGAAAGCAAAATGAATCCAAGAAGAAACATCTCAAAGGAATGGCATACAAGGCCAAAGGTGGCAAAGAAATAGCTGCAAAGGCTATGGGCCTTCCCTGCAATTCGAAGTTCTGTCAGCGAGTCATGACTCGAGACTGTCAATCCATTGCAGAAGAGCAGAGGCAGTGGATATTTCAGAAAGTTTGGTCAATGGACAACTGGGAAGAACATACGTCACCACTTTGGTCACAAAGGTTGCCATGAAGCAAAAGAAAGAAAGTTGGTGAGGGATCCAGGCGCAGTGCATCATTTTCCTACCAACTGAAACTTCAGGATAGAACGAATCTTAAAGTGTGCGAAGCTTTTTTTCTTCTACACTTGGTATCCCTGAAAGAACCATTACACACTGGCTGAACAAAGACACCATCGACCATGACGAACAAGTGGCAGACCCGCCAACTACATCTCCACCTAAGAGTGGCAAAAATGCAAAGCTGGAAAGTGGAAATGCTGTCACCGATTTCCTTAAGGACTGGTTGAAGGATCTGCCCACTGTTGATTCGCACTACTGCAGAAGCACAGCGACCTACAAAGACAAGAAGTTCCTTCACCCAGGCACAACCATCTCCCAACTACATCGGGAATATCAACAGGCAGCTGCAACTGCTGAAGTTGACGCTCTGCCAATCAAGGAGAGGAAGTTTCAGGACCTTCAGTCCATGAAACATGTTATGCCCTTCGAGTGTCATCAGCTTTTTGACAATTTGCCACATAATTAGACACACACACATCAAGATGACTGAGAAAGATTCAGGGGAGAAACTGATTTAAAGGTCCCATGACATGCTTTTCTGGTTATTACCCGTCCCCTTGTGTGTTATGTAACTTTTTCTGCATGTAAACGGTCTGCAGAGTCACAAACCCTCAAAGTACACCCTGTAGCGAGTAAAACTCTAACACAGAAAAGACCTGTCTATGCTTTTTCCATTTTTTTCTTCCTGAGTATAGTGACGTAATCTTACCCAGGCCCAAATGGACCAATCCGTGGAGCTCCTCACACACACACACTCACTCACTCAAGCCTTATCTTTTCTCAGCCACAATACTCCGCAGAGTTTCGCCGGCACACTCAGCCGCAGCTTCGTGGATCTCCACTTACAGTTCGCCACACACTCACGTGTGTGCTCAGGCTGAGTTTTGCGGTGTCTCGCTGTCTCGCAGACCCCACGCAGCAACCAGGACACGACACCAGTAATACAGCTCACACTGTCGGCTCCTCGAGTCTCAAAGGGCGGAGCAGCGAGCCCCCCAACGTCCCGCCAACACGGCACCCAGACCCCACGCAGCATTCTCATCTGTTTGTCATTACTGGTGTCATTTTCTGGTTGCTAACAAACGCCATTGTAAAACATAATCACTAATGTTCCGCTGTAACGGTGGTGGACTCATCAGAACAGAGTGGGCGAGCTGACCAATCAGAGCACAGTGGGCTCACAGGGAGGGGGGGCAGGAGCTCCAACAAGCCGTGTAGGACAGAGAGTAAATACACATACTATACAGAGATGCTGTTTGAGAAACCAATGTGAGTTTGGAACATTGAACAATGTAAATCTATTCTAGTAGACCTCAACAATGGAATTATGATCAGTAGAAATGGCCAAGACATGGGACCTTTAAATGGAAAAGGGTATAATTAAAAACACAGCAAAGAAGAGTTGGAGGGAGTAGTGAGGAGAGGCACATGCCTTCTCAGTGTTTGATTTACTTGCCTTTTGTTTTATTTAGCTAAGATTTAAGTTGTACCTTTTGAGTTTGCTATATTGAATTAAAGGGCCAACCACGGCCAAACTGCCCTCTGTTTTCTGAGTCTCTGTATGCTCTTCTAGCATTTTAAACTGTTTGTGGCCGACCCAGCCATGGTCTGTCACAGTAATGCGGAAAAGAGAAGTGCACTGTTTTGCCTAAGTCACTTACTCCAGAAGTAATAAGGCCTAAGTCAGGTTTCAAATTGCCTAAGTCACAACAACATGTTCGTAAATTGGCCTAAGTAATCTAATCCTCTTATTTCACACAATTGACAGACAGTGTTATTTGTACGTCAATAGTCATATATTGTCATAACCTTTTTGTGTGAAATAATTAATATATATCATATATTCGGTTCAGTTTTTTGAAAAACGTTCAAATATGACTTAGGCCATTAGTTTAAGAAGGTGACGATATGTGGTTGTTGGTGTTTTGAGTATAAAGAAATGTGAAACTTGCTGAATACGACTTTTCATCTTTTTGGGCATTTAGTTGACAACTGTGCAGATTGTAGCCACATGCAATTCAAATCTCACAGTTTTGTATCCTTAACTTGACATAGAATTGGATTGCATTTGCTTCTTGCAGGAGATTATGATGAGACTCACCTGACAAACAGACTTTGGCAAAAGAAGGCTGATTTGCTGCTGGAGACCTTCTGCAACCAGAGAAAAAGATCAGGAGCCCTGACATGAAAAAATGGCCGCATAATTATAATTTTTTTATCAGAGTGTGATTTGGTTGAAGCAGCAGTCATTTTTGCTTTTGAACAAACACAAAACAGATTCTGCGTCGGTTCTCAGAATTGGACGTAGGACAGATTTTCTACCGTGTGATATTGTCATGGCTGATTCAGTTTTAGCTCACAGTGACCTCTGCTTTTCTGTTTCTTTTTATGAGGTCGTACTGACTCTCTGTCCATCTCTGGCTGACTGCCTGACGCAACTGCAGCCACTGACCTGCTTCAGTGATCAGCGGGAGCCTTCATGCACTCAAATGAGAGGAGGTTACCTTCTCGTTTTAACCAAAAGGTAATTAAAATGTGACTATGCTGCTGCACACCAGCCTTCACATTCAAAAATCCCTCCCGATGTCTGAATCTAACATTTATTTGAGTTCTTCCTTCATGACATAATAGCATTACAAATGTTTTTGGTGCATTGGCGCCCCCAAGTGTGGCGATTTTAGATGTTCCTGAAAGCTAAAATCCAACTTCAGACTTTTAACAAAATCCTTCCTTGCCAGGAATTTCAGCTCACATAATACAGAAAAAACAGATACAGCAGATACTTTGAATGAAATGTGATAACTTACTTATTGGATACACATTGTACATTTGTCAAGGTGGTGAAGTTGTTCCTGACAGTCCGGAGGCTTGCCAAAACCTAAAAATCAAAAATGGGAAAAAGTGATGAAAAGAACAGCACAAATGGCTAAGGTGGATAAAAGTATGATGAATATCAACATGAAAAGTAAAAAGGAATATAGAAATATTTAAAGATTGCAATTTTACACTCAAAGGTGGCTTGAAAATAATTTACTAAATTATTATTTCTCTTGAAAACACTCGCTAAGTATTTTAGTTTTCATTGCAATACAGCTGATTATTTAGAGCAGGGGTCTCCAACACGTCGATCGCGAGCTACCGGTAGCTCGCAAGCCCTCAATTAGTAGCTCGCCAAACAAATCCAAAATGTAAAAAAGGAAATGTAATTAAAAGAATCTACCCTATGCATACACGAAACCTCAATCATAGCGAACTCTATCTACTTACTACAACTCTATCTAACACCCCTCCTCCCCCCACCCCCACAATGAATATGGACCAATCACGTTCTTGCTTGATTTGCGGGAACAGCGTTGCAGTCGGGAAGAAAAGCAATGTGGCAGCTCACCACTTCATAAGGAGTGTGACCGTGATTTTCCTTCTGGCAGAATGTACACAACACATCAGGCCCATTGAACAGCCTAGTCATGTCAGCCTATACAACACATGAGGGCCAGAGTTTACTGTGTGTGTGTTGCAACTTGCATATATATTTATTGCACTTTGTGCACGCCACTTTACAAATATGTTTATTATTTTTATTTTTTACGCAAGCTGTCATCGCCACGGAGGAGCACACAGCCCTCATGTGAGCGAGCGAGACAGAGAGAGAGAGCTAGTGAGAGGAGATGAGAGAAGAGAAGAGAGAGAAGAGAGAGAGAGAGAGAGAGAGAGAGAGAGAGAGAGAGAGAGAGGAGGAGAGAGAGAGAGATCTCTTCTTCTCTAGACTCTTGAGCTTTTGCTATCGTACTTTTGAGACGCTGAAGAGAGAGGAGAGAGATGAATGGAGAGCACACCTTTATCGATATTCAATAGTTTGTAAATAATAAAAGTAAGAAATTAGAGTAGATTTAGATTAGATTAGAATCTTTAATGACCACCACAGCCAGGCTGGTGACAGTCGTGTTCAGTGCAGAGTATTTACAGTTGTTCCATAAAATTAAACTATACAATAAACAGTACAAGAAAAAGTAAACAAACAGCACAGGGCAAAGACATATAACATAAAGTTTCAGGGTGGTGGATGTTATTGTCAATCATTCAATGTGTACTATAGGACAGTAAAAAAAACTAAAAACAGTTTAAAAGGGGAGTGATTAGTAAAATATGCATAAATAGAAAGAAAGAATGCTAACTAGGTAACATAAGATAAGAATAAACAAGTTTAAATGATTTGTTATTGGTTGTGATCATATTCTAAAGACGTTTGGATTATTGAAAGGTATACAGCTCCCTTTCATCTGAGTGTTGAGAGCTGTATCCATACATTCATTGTGGGCTCAAAGTGCAGCAGATTGATGCATTTCACTTCAAAATTAAAAATCAAATCTTCCTGGGGGTGCATGCCCCCGGACCCCCCTAGAGAGGGTGAGGACCCCCCTAGAGGAGGTGAGGCCCGTCCACCCCCAAATAAAGCAGGTTAAAATAATTAAATTGAATACATGTTCTTTTAGTAAACACTGAAACCGGGTCCCACAGACCCAAACAGCACACAAAGGTTAAAGGTCAGCATATAATAATGTTAAAATGTGCTAAATATATACACTGCAAAAAACAAACAAAAGAGGAGCAAAAGTAGCTCACGACTTGTTTTATTTTTTTAAAGTAGCTCTCATCCTAAAAAAGGTTGGAGACCCCTGATTTAGAGCGATTGGCTAATTGTTGTACTAAGCCATTTTAAATGATTAGTTAGAGCAGCGTTTCTCAAAGTGTGGGGCGCAGAGATGTGATAGGTGGGTCACGAAATACAAAATAAAAAAATAAAAAAATATTTTTTTAAATAAAAAATAAAATTCTTTTTTTTTTTTCACACTGGTGGAATATCAAAACAACGGCTCGCCCGGGGTGCAAAACGCATCAATGAAAGCGACCCTCTACCACACAAAACAACACCTGTAGATAACCCAATTTGTGTTCTTTGAAATTGAAAAGGATATTGCATTGTGTTTGTTACTTTCGTTGCAGTTGTATGTCTTAAGTGTAATTTGGCATGATTTTATTTTGAAGGCGAGTTTACGCTGTTGACAGTTGTTGCTATGGAAACAAGAAACGTTTCACAGCGGGCGGAACCTGTCATAAAGTCCGCGATAATAAAGCCCACCCATTTAGAGGCAAGATATGATTGGTCAATTGTACTGTCATTTGACATTACTCTCTCTTCAGTTACTATAGCTGGCCCTCTGTGAATTCATAGCTGGACGTCCAATCAGCTCCTGTCTTCACCTCACAGAGACGAGCTTCTTTCATTTAACCCTTCACATTCAAACAGAAACTGAATAGGCAGATTCAAAGGATTTATTTCTTTGGAAATGTTATTTTAAATACAATTTAATCAAGTTATTATTTGTAAAAATAATGACAAATATTACTAAAAACATATTTTTAAAAATATATAAAGAAAAAATATATTTTTTTAATGTTTTATAATATTATTTTGTAGAATCTCTTAGGCCCTCAGAGACAGGCTCGCCACTGGTAAAAATATCTCATACACACATGTGAAAGGCTCTCACAGACACACACAACAGCGTTGCAGTCGGGAAGAAAAGCAATGTGGAGCGAGAGAGAGAGAGCGAGAGAGAGAGAGAGAGCGAGCACACCTTTATCTATTTAATAAAGTTGTCAAAAATAAAGTAAGAAACCATTCCAATGTGTACTATAGCACAGTAAAAAGTTTAAAATGGGAGGGATTAGTCAAATATGAATAAATAAAAAGAAATAATGCTAACTAGGTAACATAAGATAAGAATAAACAAGTTTAAATGATTTGTTGTGATCGTATTCTAAAGGTGTTTGGATTATTGAAAAGTATACAGCTCCCTTTCATCTGAGTGTTGAGAGCTGTATCCATAAATTCATGTTGGGCTCAAAGTAGGGCTGCTCGATTATGGCAAAAATCATAATCTCGATTATTTGGGTCAATAATTGATATCACGATTTAAAAAAACGATTAACCATTTACTTTGAAAACATCAATTTATTGAAGAAAATCATTTGAAAAGTATGTTTTTAACAGTTGATTACCCTGAACTTTAAGTATAATTCAACTGAAAAACCTATTTTTAAAAAAATAAAATTGTTTTATTTCGATTATGTTGTTTTCATAATCGTTGCAAGCCAAAATCGTAATTGCGATTAAAATACGTATTAATTGAGCAGCCCTAGCTCAAAGTGCACCAGATTGATGCATTTAACTTCAACATTTAAACAAAATCTTCCTGGGGGTGCATGCCCCCGAACCCTGCCTAGAGGATGTGACGTCCACCACCAAATAAAGCAGGTTAAAATAATTAAATTGCATATATTTTATTTTAGTAAACACTGAAAACGGGTCCCACAGACCCAAACAGCACACAAAGGTTAAAGGTAGCATATAATAATGTTAAAATGTGCTAAATATATACACTGCAAAAAAAACTAAAAAGAAGAGTAAAAGTAGCTCACGACTTGTTTTATTTTTTGAAAGTAGCTCTCATCCTAAAAAAGGTTGGAGACCCCTGTTATAGAACGATACATTTGACCATTTTAAGCTTGGCCTAACATTTTTTTGGAGCGATGAGGAACAGGTGGGGCTTGAAAAGGCCCACCTGTTCAAAGTGGGGAATGACAGAAAAAGTTTGAGAACCACTGAGTTAGAGTGACATGTCTGCAGCTGCCTCTCAATGCCCTATTGTAGTTATCCCATGTATAAATAAAACGTGTTATTCAGCAACCCTTGCTATTTGGGATTTTATTTTTGGTTGGTAGACCTCGGTGAGCTCAAAAGTAGCTCACCAGCCAAAAAAGTGTGGGCACCCCTGGTCTATACAGTCTATGGTTCACACCAAGCCCCCAGGAAGTGCACCGGACTCAGATGAAAATATTCGTGCTGGCCAAACGGCGGTACTACACTTCCGTTTGGTTGCCAGGCCCGGAAACACTTTTTCCCATTGACTTACATGGGGAAAGAGTGGTCTGTAAATCGTTGGATAATTTTTTTTAAACTAAATAAACTGCCCAGTATGAACACATGTATAGCCCTTATTAAAAACATTCGTTCCTCAAGTTGTAATAATGTGCTAATAACGTTATTCTGAGAGTTATTTCCCTCTGCATTATGAACGCGCATCTAACCCACGGGACCGCGCCGTCCGGCACGTTCATGTTACGTGTCCCGACCAATCAGAGCACACTGTGCTCACAGGGAGGGTGGGGGCTGGAGCTATTGGAGCTACAACGAGCCGTTAAAGGCAGAGAGTGAAATTCAGTGAATACACGTAGTTTACAGAGATGCTGTATGAGGAACCAATGTGAGTTGCGTTTATCTTTACCCATGGATGCACAATAAGAACGGACCCATATCGTCTTACTGCCATCCCACGGAGCTGTAATAATGGATATATTGCACATGTTTGCTGTAATTCATTATCATACTACATGGGCTATATGATTACATCTTGTACCGTAAATGTTGTATTAAATAGTTAATATTACTTATTATTATAGGCCTAAGTATATTTACACATAGTACATTAGCATAATTACTAGCTAGCCGCTAGCTTTTAACTGCCGCCTCGTTAATATCAAATCCATCATAATAACAAATCATTACCATGCTGTCATGAACGTGCGGTGCTGTTACGTGTACGCAAATTGACGTGCTTGATGTGAACGAGCATTTTGGTTAAAGTTGCGCATGCGCTATGAGTGCACATACGGGTACTTCTCAGGCATGCCGGGTAATCTGTGACGTTTCGCTCTCTCAAAAGTTGGGCCATTTTATCATCATGCGCCAATGAGCAACTCTCATAGGAATGAATGAGGCCTCGCCTCCCACGCTGTAGTTCACACGGGCAAAACTCAAACGGACTATACACTTTAAACACAAGTCATGTGCACGAAAATGCTGTTCAACCATTGGTCTGACATTAAGGGGGTAAAAACGCAAATCCCGGCAATTTCTACCAGAGCCTCCGCCATGAAGCATCGGCAGGTTATTTTCATGCTGTTGTTAATCTGGAGAGCATATCAACAGCAACGGCGCATATGATTATATAATCAGACAACGTGCGATACAAAACATTATAACACATATAATGAGAGACGTTCTGCAGTAAGGAGGGGGTTTCACCGACGACAGGTGGCTCTGACTTTTATAGTTTTTAGTTTGATAGTTGTTTTTACTTTACACATTCTGCTTCACTCTTTCGCTAACGATTTTGAAGACGCCCGCGTTCTTGTGACACGTAAATACTACGCTTCCTATGTTTTGGTGCGGACTGCGTTCACACCAGCGATGAACCGCTCCAGAGTTCACTAGCAAGCGGTCCGAGACCACCTCTTTTAGCGGACCAGAGTCCGGTTGTTTAGTTCACTTCAGAGGTCTCGGACTGTGTTCACACCGACCCAAACGAACCGCACCAAGCGGCTAAACGCACCAGGGTTCGATTCAACCGGACTATAAAAGGCTGGTGTGAATGCGACCTTAATGTTAGTAATCAACGAGGGCAAGTTGATGTGGTTAGGTATTTTATTTTACCCTTTTTACCTGTAGTCTCTTGGAATACATAACACATTATATCGATCTTAAATTGTTAAAAGGTAGTCTTTTTCTGAAGGTTTTACAGAGGGCGTTGTTCCTATACAGCAGGGGTCGGCAACAGGTGGACCGCGGTCCGGATGCCGACCTATACGGACCCGAACCTATAATCAATACATTAATAGGTGATTATATTTTAACCGCTGCCGACAGGGGGCGAAAGAGACGAGTGAGCGATACAGGGAGAGAAACACAGAAGAAGAGATGAGAGAGCGGCAGAGAGAAGCGGAGAGGAAAGTGAGTGAAGAGAATAATTAGCGATACAGGGAGAGAAGCGGAGAGGAGAGTGAACAGGCGTGTTAGCGGCAGACAGGGAGAGACACATAATTACACATGGCGCTCTCCAAGAAGAGGAAAGTGGAGAGTGAGAACAGAGCTTTTAACCCTGAGTGGACTCATTCATGTTCATCCTGCCCACTGGGAGCACAGAACCAGTGTGTCTCATTTGTTCAGAGACCGTGGCACTCATTAAAAGTGCCAAAACGCCACTATGAGACAACACACAAAGTGTTTGACCAAACGTTCCCTCTCAAGTCAGAACTGAGGTCACAAAAAATAATCAGTCTCAGAGCCCAATATGATCCGTCCACCAGGATCAAAATTAAAACTAAATATCCAGGGCAGGCTAACCGAGGCTAACCAATGAGCACCTGCATGTGTATGAGAATGGCCCTGACACCATTTCAGCCCAGATTTAAACTCCTGGCAGGACAACAAGCTCAAGCTCAATTCTCGCACTGAATTAAAAGAAAGTGAGTGAGGGACTGCAATATAAGAGGGAAAGAAAGAGAAACTTTAAAACTGTTCAATTGGTATGATGTGTAAAGACTGATATTGTTCTATAATCGGCTGAAACTGTTAAGTCATGATGTGAAACGGTTAACAAAGAAAAAGGGAAACTCAAGCTGCTGCTACACTTTATTTTATTTATCTAAAATTAAGCACTTTTAAGATGCACATATTTTCAAAAGCTATTTTATTTATTTATTTTTAAATGCAGCCCGAGAGGAACATTACACATATCCACAGTATTTGACTGTATATCTGTATAGTTCAATGTTAATTGACAATAAATATTGTTGTTTATGAATTGTACTTTATTTATTTGATTGGCAGTCAGTTGTTGATTACATGCAGACGTTGATAAAGCTACAGCTACTTCAATATATATCACGCTAATTCATAAAGCAACTTGGACATTTTGATGTTCCGGACCTTTGCATGGGGACATTTTCTCTAACTGGACCTCGTTGAATTTTAGTTGAATAGCCCTGCTATACAGTATCATGATCAAAGCCTGATTTATATCACATATGACCAGGTATATTATTTTTCTCTCTGTAAGATTCTGACTCTAAAATCCTTTTACCCCATTTAGTGTCTTGGAAGATGTATGGAAAGATGTAACATGTCATGCATAGATTTATTTATATACTATTATATTCCTAAAAACATGACAATAGTGTTTTTGAATAAATGGCTGGTCACAGTATTTGTTTTATAGATTTATAGAAAGATACAAAGGGATTTGCTAAACTAGGTTTCGCACTGACATCTATTAGATACAAATGTCTCGGACTATTCACTAAATAAAGATATTGTAAAAAAAATGCCATGCCTACTGAAGTCTACTAGGGGGCAGAGATGTTACTTAGGGCAAGTTAGTTTCTCCATTACCAAGGTGCTTCACATTTTGCAAGCCCTTGTGTTTGCCAAAACAAGCTACTGAGCAAACATCATTAAAATGACTTTGATGCTTTTTTTCAACAGATTAATAAATAATCAGCTCTTACCTGAGCAAATGGGGTCACAATCAAGTCTTCTCCGTGCCTGAAATGTGATGGGAAAAACAATTAAAGTCTGACTGCAGTTGAACAGAGGGAATATTGAAACAGCAGTCTCTCTCAATGATCGTTTCTACTCACAGTTCTCCAACAATGGAAGAGTTTCGAGACAAGGACTTGGGCGACAGGTCGTAGTCGCTGTCGGAGCGGTACAGGAAGGACTCTCGCCGCTGGCCGTGGCACGCCTGGTTGGGGTGGAGAGCCAGCCCGGAGCCCGGGGACGCCTGGGGGTCTGAGGGGCTGCAGCACAACGACGGACCATTCTCACCTTCAAAACTAAGATAAGAAATAGGAAAAAGTAGTGGGTTAAATAAGTACAGTTTGTATTTATATTTTATGTATTTTTCAGGGTCAGTTTGCTAGTTTTAGTTGTTATATATTTAGTTCAGTTTTTAAATGTTTTGTTTTTATTTATTTGCATACAACAACCCTTATTTCATACGATCACATGTCATTTAGAGGACGCTTTTATCAAATGCAACTGAAATACATTATAACACCGCAGGCATGCCTACGGGAGCAATAGGGATTAAGTATCATGCCTGAGGAGTGAGGACACTTTAGCATGATGACATGAACAACTAGCACTGAAGAGGTCGCCTTGATCTGATCAAACATTTTGATCTCCTTCAATCGTTCGAGACATAAATGTATGTGTAAAATAAAAACAATATATAAATGAAATAGAATAACCTGTTTTAAAACTAATTGTGTAACAAATTGTAGCATAGCGCCATCTCCTGGACTTTTGTAGTTACATTTCAGTCAATCGAGATTCATGGTGTCTCTTTTAATCTGAAGTCAATTTTTACAGGAAAAGCAATCAACATAAATCCATTTGTTTGTATTGCCGTTAGTGATTTGAACCAGGCAATAACGTTTCAATTAAGTTTCTTCTTTGAATTGAGATCCAGCTCATTACCACTGCTCATTTTCATTAACATTAAAAACCCTGGTCTGATCCATCATCGATCATCTGCATTCTCAAATCATCATTTTTCACCAATGATTTTCAATGACTTTTCCATGACCTTTTTTCCATAACCAAAAAAATTACTCTTTCTCAGCGGTACCACTGAAAATTGTTTATTTTAACATGGAACAGGAAAATACGTTTCTGCATATGAAACAAGTTGTGCCTATCTAAAACAAATCAAATAGGCTTACTAGCTTCTACACGCTAAAGCAACACAAATCTCTCACCAGCAAAATACCCCGTCAGTTAAATGCCATTTTACATTTCATTATTATACGATACAGTATTTATTATCATTATAGTATTACTATTTTGGCGATTAGCTAAAATATAAATTATATTTGATGCAACTTTAGTTACATTTCCATGAGTTTTCCAAAACTTTGGGAAAAATATTGTTTTCCATAACTTTTCCAGGGCCTGGAATTTGCATTTTGAATTTCCATGACTTTTCCAGGTTTTTAATGACCGTAAGAACCCTGTTCCTTAAAAAAGCTGCCTCTACTGTAAGTTCCGGCTTGACCAACGTGTTCACAAATCCCATCTGAGAAAGTGCTGGTTGCATAAACCCTAAAATGATTACTCACCCGTCCGTCCATGGCCTAAAACCAAACTATTGTGCTCATTAAATAAGTATGCTTTGCTGCTCCATGGGAGTGGGGTTGTCTGTCTTTACTGTCTATGACGGATCCACTCATCCCCACTCAGGAGCAACAGGCCAGTAAACAGAGGGATTAACTCCTTGTGGTATGACGTCAGGATATTTATATTATTTTTTTCATAGTGACAGTCAACCCTTTGACATTGAACTGTTGTATTGTCTATCTACTTGCAGAGGGAGTTTACATAGTAAGTTTAGTTTTTCCCTTTTCTTAACCCTGAACAAGTTGAACATATTGTTCTCACACTATCTCACGGCATTACAAATGTAATTTAAAATTGGTATAGTATTTTTATTAATCACAATTGTATGTGTTGCACTTCCTATGGACTGGAAGGACGAACATTTCTAATAAATAAAGTTGGATTAATTGGTGATGAAATATAATCTCTAATCGTTTCAGAGTAATGCTTTGTACATGGTATTAACGAATAAATCAAATAACAATAAGTCTACTAATGGACCATATAATCAAATAGTTTAAAGTGTAAGATAATGTTCAATGCTTGTCCCAGCCCTTTAAAAAATAAATACCCAATAGAAAAAAGGCAATTATAGAAACAAAAGAAAAAAAGACTGTGGAAGGAGTCCCAACATTGAACTTATCAAGATGGGAAAAAAGGCTCAGAGCAAAAGCAAACCAACAAGCAGCAGAATTTATACAAAATCTGCATGTTTTGTTTTTTTAAACACTAAACAAAGTCAATCTACCAATCATGTTTTCCTGCAGTAACACCCCCACTGATGCACAGACGGATGTAATACGTAGGAGGAGAGGAGGAGCTGATAGGCCACCAGATGACCAGGTCGGCTGGATCGGAGTTTAGAGTGAAAGGTCAGAGTATCACTGCGCCGCAGGAACAACAGATGCCGCAAATGATGAGTCACTCTCGCTAATTCCAAAGGTTAATATAAGACATTTGATTTATGTAGCCCAGTTGCTGTAAAAAAGTGTCTGCAAAAAATCCCATTTCATAGCTTTCATAAATACTCTGTTATCTACAATCCATCTTGTAATGCAAGGACTGATCCAAAGGTCGCTTCACCATTTTGCCCCACATTTAGCCGCCCACCCCCCATTCTGTTATTGCTGCAGCATGTGGGATTAACCAGGCACCGACCCAGAGAGACGCTCTCCGTCCCACACCTCTGCCAGAGAAACCCAGATTAATGGGGAATGTGCAAACTCCCAACTGATTACGCACAGACACAGCGGCGCACGTCATCAAAATCCCATCTTCATTCAATATTCATCCAGCAGAATGCTCCACCTACAGGGATCTGGGCTCGTAATCTGCCATAAACAGGAAACCACAGTATGTCAATGACGCATCATTTGTGTAGATGCTGATCCTAGATATGGGAAAGTAGGGCTGTAAGTAATTATTATTTTCATTAGAGATTCATCTGCAGATTATTTTCTAGCAGTGGCGAACCGTCAGGGCCTTCAAGGTATTCAGAGAACACTATGGAACACTCAGATAAAACAAACAAAATATCGATTTAATTATAGAAATAAAATGAATAAATGAGAATCGTATCTGTGTTGTTGATCTGTAATATGAAAGTGTTACGTTGATTTGTTTGTCCTTCTCGGACCATGCACTACGCATTTCAGTAGTTTTCTGTTAGAAAAGAAAGCAACCAATCAGATCTTGTTCTGGGTCTCTGAGTAGAATATCCTTCAACCAAGGTATTCTACATCCTTGATCGAATGCCCTGGCCGTTGCACTGAATGAGAGCGTACCTTTGGACTGACAGTTTGATCAACCAATCATATATTGATTTGCAGCCAATGGGCGTATTCTTTCAGAGTTCCCCTCGGTTCCAGGGTCCTCTAGAACAGTGGTTCTCAAAGTGGGGTCCGCGACCCCCCGGGGGTCCGTGGCACTCTGCCAGGGGGTCCGTGAAAAGTTTTCAGATTCATTAGTTTTTTTGTTTTTTTTTGTGTGACGCAACACTTTTGGAGAGAGAGGACGCTGGCGTTGTCTGTTCGCCGCTTCTCTGTCCGAAAATGTATCTGCCGAATTTTGGACCAACGTTTCTACCTCAGTTTCCATACGTTCAGTGGCTTGCACACGCTGTTCTGGACACTTTTGTAACACCCGATCGCAACTTTTTACGGATGCTCCGCTTCCGACCTGTCCACCCTGCTACACCTGCTAATGTTGCTCCTGCTTCAGGGCTAACGCTATCGCTAACGTTAGTGACTCCATCTGACGACAAGCCCGATTCTCCGTCTCATTTTCCCGTTTTGAGTCCCGATCCTGCTTCACTGTATCACCTGCTTAGCTGCTGTTTGATTTTGTTCTAGCACAAAAGACACAACAACGGTCCTCTCCACCCAGCCAGTCTGACGGCGATCAGAAGCTAGCCTAGTTCTACCTGCTCAGGCTAGCCTGCTCTGGCCACCACCGGTGCTCCTCTGCTGCAAACGTATTCAATTTCCACCATCTCTCCTCAGTGCTGTCCGTCCTTGAGTCACTTCCTGGACAGGCTGCCTGCTGTCCTGTACTCTTGGCTGATAGCGCATTGTCCCGGCCGATCCGCGACCACAGCTAACGCTGTGCTAACGTTAGCATCATACCATCGTGATGCTTCGTTACTCCGCCTCGCAACTTTTTAGGATCAACCACTTCACTACACCCCCTCTATGTCTGTCAGTCATTGAATACCTCGGGCTGTTACGAGTTGGCAGACCCAGGTATGTCCACAGAGGTTCCAAACGTGGGTTTGTTTACACCGGCTCAGCTGACACTATCCCAACTGTGTGGTCCCGGCGCCCCGTCACCGCCCACTTACGTCATCACAACAAACCACACGTGTGCAGTGTTAACATGAAGCCCTTGGCCTGTGTTGATGGCATCACTGTTTTACCAGCCATTGCAACATATAACAACTCCCACACATTCATGTTGTTAAATACCCGCTCCCTTAACAACAAAGCATCACTTATGAATGAAATCATGAAATGAAATCATCATTGATAGGAAATTGGATTTTCTCTGCCTCACTGAGACATGGCAAAACCAACAGGACTTCCTCACACTCAACCTAGCCACCCCCCCAGGTTATGCTTATCTCCAACAGCCCCGCTCCATTGGTCGTGGTGGTGGGCTGGCAGTCATCCACAGAGCAGATATCCCTGTCAAACAGCTGCTTGTGACGAATAAAATCTCACTTGAGTGCATTGCCTTCTCAGTGGCTGCCCCCTCAAAGCAGCAGGTCGTCCTCATTTACCGCCCCCCCAAACCTTCCACGTCATTCATGTCTGAGTTGTCTGAGCTTCTCACCTCAATCTGCTCCATGTCCCCATCCACACTACTGCTAGGTGATTTTAACATCCACGTGGACTCCAGAACCTGCACCTTTGCCGCTGAGTTTCTGTCACTATTGGAGTGCTTTAACATCACACAGCATGTCCAAGGTCCCACCCACACTAAGGGCCACACCTTGCGTGTCTTCACTTGCAGAGAGAAGCAATCAGCTTCATGGACTGCCTTGCATCACTCCAATAGTGTCCAGAGCTGGCTGCCATTACAAGTAGTGGTTTGGGATTGTAGCAATGCAGTTGCAGTTGTTTTGCAATTTTCTTGATATATGTTGCAATGCAGGCATGTGTTCAATTGTTTATAGCCT